GAAGTAGTGAAATTTTGTGATCATGTTTCTAGCCATGCTGAGATATTCTTGCATTTTGGCTCCTTTGGCTTCGAACTCGCCCCTCACTTGATTGACTATCAGCTGAGAGTCACTGTAGGTGGCAAGGTGTTGAACCTCCATTTCCATCGCTAATCTTAATCCAGAAAGGAGGGCTTCGTATTCCGCCTCATTATTGGAAGCATAAAAGTGGAGCTTCATCGCATATCTGAGAGTGGTGCCATCTGGGCTGATCAAGATTAAGCCCGTTCCTCCTCCTTCACTAGTCGAGGAGCCATCTACGTAGAGTTTCCAAAGCAGATGAGTAGAGAATTTGGAATTTGAAGTGGAAGACCGGGGAGGTGCAGCCTGTGGTGCCTGGGCATCCAGAGGTGCAGCCTGTGATGCAGGAGCTAGAGGTGCAGCCCGGGATGCCTGGTCATCAGAAAAAGTTGTTTGGGCTCCTAGGGAGGAGACTTGGGCGTCTGCTTAAGGGTCTTTGTTAGGCTTCTTGATGTCTCCATTGGGCATTTGGGGATCCTCATCGTTCCCATCTTCTGTTGGTGTGAGTTCAGCTACGAAATCTGCTAGGGCTTGTGCTTTGATGGCCGTCCTAGGTTGGTACTGAATGTCGAATTCCCCGAGTTCTACTGCCCATTTAAGAAGTCTGCCAGATACGTCCGACTTTCCCAAGATTCTTTTAAGAGGTTGGTCGGTGATGACCACCATACAATGGCCCTGGAAGTAGTGTCGCAGCCGTCTCCCTGTAGTGACCAGAGCGAGGGTGACTTCATGTCAAGAATGGCCTTGATCTTGTCAGGGTTCGCCTCAATTCCCCTCTGATTGACCATAAAGCCCAGGAATTTACCATACCCCACACCAAGGCGCACTTCTCAGGGTTGAGCTTCATGTGATAGGACCTCAGGACGTTGAAAGTTTTTTGGAGGTGACCGATGTGGTCTACTGCTACAAGGCTCTTTACCAGCATGTCTTCCACGTACACCTTCATTGTTTGCCCGATCTGAGACTGGAACATCTTGTTCACCAGCCATTGGTAGGTTGCCCCAGCGTTCTTTAGCCCAAAGGGCATGACCCTGTAGCAGTATGTCCCCTTTGGCATGATGAATGATGTCTTCTCTTGGTCTGGGAGATGCATGATAATCTGGTTGTACCCCGAGTATGCATCTAGGAAAGTGAGCAACTCATGTCCAGCGGTGGAGTCGATGAGGAGGTCAATCCGCGGCAGTGGATAACTATCTTTTGGGCATGCCTTGTTTAGTTCTGTGAAGTCGACACAGATGCGCCACTTCCCATTAGCCTTAGTAACCATTACTACGTTGGAGAGCCACTCCGGATACGCCACTTTCCTAACTGCCCCATTATCAATCAGCTTTCTAACCTCCTTGTCCATGGCTTGGGCCCTTTCAGTGGAGGTTCCCTTAACTTTTGGCGAACAGGCTTGTACAATGGATCGACATTGAGGCGGTGGGTAGCTACTTCCGAGTCGATGCCCTCAAGGTCCTCATGCGACCAAGGAAAGATGTCCGTATTACGCTTCAAAAAATCAATCAACAGGGGAGCCAGCTCTTCAGAAAGGGAAGAGCCAATGTAAATTCTTTTGTCTGGGTGCTCCTTTTCTAAAACCACAGGGATGAGTTCCTCGACTGGTTCTCCTCTTTTTGTTGCGGAGTCATCCCTTGGGTCAAGGACCTCAACCTGCAATGATTCTTGGGGCTTCCTAGCCTTCATAGAGGATACATGGCACTCTCTAGCTGTTATTTGGTCCCCTTTGACCTCTCCGACACCATTTGAGGTTGGAAAGCGGAGAACGAGATGGTAGGTAGAGGGCACAGCTCTCAATGTGCTAAGAGCTGGCCACCCTAATATGATGTTGTAGGCTGACGGGCACTCTATTACCAGGAAGTTGACCATGACTGTGGAGCTTCGGGGTGTTACTCCGGCGGTGACAGGAAGTGTGATGGATCCAAGGGGATACACTTTTTCCCCTGAGAATCCAATGAGGGGTGACCAGATTGGATGTAGCCTCTCCCTGCCCAGGTTGAGCTTGTCATAGGCCTCTGCAAACAGGATATTTGCAGAGCTGCCACTATCCACCAGGATCCTGTGCACATGAAAATTGGCCACCGTCATGGTGAGCACCAAGGGGTCGTCATGGGGGTGTTGGATTTCCTCCAGGTCCTTGTCTGAAAAAGATATGACCACATTGTTTTCCTGCTTCGGCACCTTAGATGGGCGCATCTCGTAGACATGTCTTGCCTTCCTGGCATGGGCCTTCATCGCGGAAAGTGATTCTCCCCACATGCTAGTCCCCCTGAGATGGTGTGGACTTCCCCCACTGGCTGCTGATTTTCCTGGTTGTGAGGTTGTGGTGCTCGTTCCCTTCTAGCAACGTACTGACGTAAGTGACCACGCTGGATGAGCCCCTCAATTTGCCTCTTGAGGTCGTAGCAATCGTCGGTGTCATGCCCGTGGTCACAATATAAGCGGCAATACTTGTTAGGATTTCTGCGATTTGGAGGAGACTTCATTTTTCCAGGCCACTTTATCGCGGGGTCATCCTAGATCTGGAATAGGATGTGTTCCACGGAAGCATTGAGGGGAGTGAAGGGTTGATGGTTCCTCTGAGGAGCAGGACCTAGCCGGTCCTTGACAGGGACTTTCTCTGTCCTACCATGTTTGTTGCTGGTCCAGTTCTTATCGTCCCTATCCCTTTCCTTCCTTTTCTCCCCTGCTCTAGAAGACTCACCCCGCCTGGCCCTTGTGATGTCTTCTGCGTTTATGTACTTTTGGGCCTTGGCTAGCAGCTCTAGCATGCTCTTCGGTGGGCGCTTCAGAACTAAGAAAAGGAAGCTTGATGAACGGAGGCCACCCAAGAAGGCGGTTATCGTCACCTTGTCGTCGGGTTCATCAACTTGGAGTACCTCCTCGTTAAAACGAGTGAGGTAACTCCTCAGGCTCTCCTCGCGGTCCTATTTTATACTAAGCAGGTGCGTAATTGGCTTCTGGTGGCAACGCCCTCCAATGAAGTGTGAGACGAATGATCTGCTAAGCTCGGCGAAAGAGGCAATAGAGGCGGGGGAGAGCTTAGCAAACCACTGTCGGGCAGACCCCTTTAACGTGGTTGGGAATGCCCTGCACATGATTTCGTCTGGTACGTTGTGTAATTGCATCAAGGTCTTGTAAGTGTCGAGGTGGTCTAGTGGATCCTTTGTTCCATCAAAGGTCTCCACAGATGGCATTTTGAACTTCTGAGGGAGGGGGTAGTTTGCTACATCAGGTTTGAAAGGCGTATCAGTACGCCTTACCAGGTGGTCAACAGTCTCGGGTCCCTGTGCCTTCATGGCGTTGAAGACATCACCGAGTTGATTCTGTACCTTCTTTATCTTTTCGTCCCAATGATTGGGGGCTCCTTTAGAATGATCATGGAAGTGGCTTCCATGTTCCATGTTTTGGTTTTCACCCTCATCCTCCTGGAGATAAGGGTCCTCTCCCTGAGAAGCAAGGGGAGAGGGAGGTGGAGCTCCCTCATGTTGGGCTTCCCGAAGTGGGGTGCCCAATGGGGCGCCCGGGCGTGGAGCAACAGGGCGTGGTGCTCCTTGATGTCCAGGACGTGGAGCTCCCTGGGGTGCTCTATGTTGTGCACCTCCGTGTGGTGCTCCACCTTGGTGTCCTCCATGCTGTGCACCTCCGTGTAGTGCTCCTCCTTGTCCAGCAAGTATGAGTTGCAGTAACTGTTGGTTTTGAGCAACCAGTTGCTGCGTGGTCTCCAATATTTGCTGGGGATTCGGGGCTAGGGTATCCGGAACAGGGTTGATAGGAGGGGGAGCAACCTCCTCCTCTCGTGGAGGATTGTCTTCATGTTGGTTCATGGATCGAGTAGTGATCGTCATTAGTTAATGGATGTAATGTTCAGGAGTGAGAATTTTGTCGAATTCCCACAGACGGCGCCAAACTGATGATGCACAAAAATGGTTTTGCACACCACCTGTCAAGTGTAGGTAATAAATGCAATAAAATCAATGAGAAAATTAAAGAAGACATGATTTATAGTGGTTTGGTCAATTCGACCTACGTCCACTCTTCAATGGCTTCAGTTGCCGGGTATTTTATTAATTCAGAGGTATGGAGAATAGAGATACAAGCATTGAGAGAATGGAGAATCAAAAAAAGTGGTCTTCGGTCGTCGGTCTGTCCTCTGTAAGTGTTGGTGGGGGCGTGCCTTTTTTTCTCTCGTCTCCTCACAGATTGGGGCTACTTTATAGCAGCTAAGAGATCATTCTTGTGAAGATCATGACTTATCCTCAAGGCTACTTTATCGCAGCTAAGAGATCATTCTGGTGGAGATCATGACTTATCCTCAAGGCTACTTTATCGCAGCTAAGAGATCATTCTGGTGGAGATCATTACTTATCCTCAACGGAAGGAGGAGGTTGGAGAGCTCTTCATGAAACGTGGTCAAAGCTTGGACCGTTTCCTTCGGTGCTGCAGATAAGCTTCTCATACTCTCCTCTTGATGACGTGCTAAGCAAAAAGTTTAACCGATCTTGGACTGTCTTGGACTTGGTAGATTCAAAATGAGGTTAGGCTTCTCAACTGGAGTTGGACTTTAACACATAAATTGGACTATTTGGGCTTAACCCATCAAATTTCAAATACTGGGGTGGTGCAAATGAAAACGCACCAATCTTTGCTTATCTTGGTGCAGAAGCACCTTTAGATGACGATCTAACTGGTATTGGGTTTCTCAATGAAAATGTCCCTCGCTTTAAAGCTCTACAAGTCTATATAGAGGTAATGTTTCTCCTTTTTTTTCTTTTCTTTTTTATTGCATTGAAAAATATGCTTTACCACGCGTTTTTTGAATTCATAATTTCCCTTCTTATCCCTTAGTTTTGGATGTCGTGACATTTTTTTGACATAAGTATGATTAAAAACAAAACTCTTTACATCATGTCAACGCTTTAGATCAAAGACTTACATATATGAACTCTTCTTCTTATCAGCATCGGTTCTATGGAAAATCGGTTCCATTCGGATCGTTTGAAGAGACAATCAAAAATCATAGTATTCGTGGCTATTTCAGCTCGGCTCAAGCTATAGCAGATTATGCAGAAGTATTGATGTACCTCAGGAAAAAATTGTCGGCCCAAAATTCTCCAATTATTGTCATCGGAGGATCTTATGGGGGAAGTGAGTGACTGAATGCAAATCATTATCCACCAGCTTCATTGTTCGTTTTGATGTTATACATATAACTTATGCGTCTATTTTTGTGCAAATTACAATTTGACCCCTTTAACTATTGCTCACATCTCAAATTGCCCTCTCAATTATCATGTTTCTCACATTATACATTTACTTAGTTTTTAGTGTCACACTGCCAAAATAATAAACGTACATTAAAATTTTGATAGAAAGTCATTTCACTTTGCCCTTGTGATGGTGTTTCATTTTGGCCCAACATGGGGATATTTTTTGCTAGAAAGATGTCAAACATTTATTTCTGGGACTTTGTGAAATCAAGAGTTGATAACGGTATATTTTTGTCAAAACACCCATAAAAGTAATATAAAAATTTATTGTAAAATAACCCACAAAAATTATAAAAACACCCATTAAAATCGTAAAAGTTGGAGGTACGATACTGAAATTTTTTCTTTGATATCCTAGTCAAATCCGTGAAAGTAATAAACCTAGTTGAATGTGAGAAACTTTAATAGTTTAATGAGAGTTCAAAGTGTAATTTAATCCTGTCTTTAATGATTTTTATGTGAACTTCTCAGTGCTTGCTTCATGGTTTCGACTGAAGTATCCACATATCGCTCTTGGTGCTTTGGCTTCATCAGCTCCAATTCTTTACTTCGACGGCCCCACTCCACAAAACGGATATTATTTCCTTGTCACCAAGGATTTCAAAGTAAAAACGAAAAACTTTAAATTTATTAAAATTTTATTACTAAATATCGTTCAATTTACTTTTTCGATTCGATTCAAAACTCTTGTAATTAGTGCAGAATTGTCGATGTGTTGCAGGAAGTTAGTGAGAACTGCTACAAAACCATTAAAGAATCATGGTCTGAGATTGATAAAGTCGCTTCTATGTCCAATGGCCTTTCAGTCCTCAGCAAAAGATTCAAGACTTGCACGTGAGAATATCAATAATCCTTGTCCTCTTGTTCAATTTTTTTTAAAGGGTAAATTACACTTACATTCCCTAAACTATCACCTTTTTTCTACTTTACCCCCTCAACTACCAGATTTCTCATATTATACCTTAAACTACCCTCAACTATGTAATTTGGTTCATAGTGCCCCAATTGTTAATATCCATTACATATTTAGCATAAAGTTATTTCATTTTGTCCCTTAAACTATGTAATTTTTTCACTTTACTTTGACATGTCAGCAATTTTCGTCTAAAAAGATAACAAACATGGGGGCAATGTGAAATAAAGTGTTAGTTTAGGGTGTAATGTGAGAAATTTGATAATTGAGCTGATAAAGTGAAAAAAGAGTGATAATTTAGAGGGTGTAAATGTAATTTACCTTTTTTAAATCTAAAACCTTGTCTCATGAGTTCTTTTTTCTTGTTTAGGCACTTGAACAATTCTTCTGAGCTCAAGGACTACTTAGACTCAATGTATGCCACAGCTGCTCAATACAATCAGCCACCGGAATATCCGGTGACGAAGGTCTGTAGCAGCATCGACGGAGCTTTTGAAGGAAGTGATATTCTTGGCCGGATATTCGCCGGTGTTGTAGGTTATAAAGGGAATTGGTCATGCTATGATACAAATCAAAACAATCATCCTAGTGAAACATCCGTGGGTTGGAGATGGCAAGTAAGTTACCTATGTTCATTTGGGTAAATTACACTTTAACCCCCATCAACTATGGCTCTGATCTCACTTTGCCCTTTTAACTATCTGAATTAGTGTCACATTGCCGCAGAATCAATTACCCGACCAACCGAAAACAATTCGATATTGTACCACTTGCTATTTTGTGGGGTAAACACTATCTTTTTAGTGTAACTTACTAACTTCTAGGGGGAGTGTGATCACTTCTTGCCAGATCATCCACCCATTGTATACAATGCTACCCTTACTTTTTAAGTTCATTTACTATTTTTTGGATTTATTGATCACTTTTTTAGTTGAAACTTATCACTTTTTAGGTTGAAGTTATTACTTTTTGAGAGATTTTTATTTTTTAATATGATACCTAAAAATAAAAATCCATTACCATAATATTTTTTGCAATAAAATAGTACGAATTTTCATATACCAGACGGTCCTTAATTAACTTTCTTAAACTTGGCCCTTTATGATGGTAGAAGCTTCATCCAACATGTCAACAATTCTGATTTCTCTTTATTAATTTCTTTTACGCACAATCATGCAATCAAGTCTCTCAATTATAACTGATCAATTAATCCGAAATTGACTAGTTTGGGATTTTTAGACTTGTAGTGAAATGGTGATACCCATCGGCCGTGGTAGGAACGACACCATGTTCCCGCCGTCACCTTTTGATTTCAAACAATATTCCGACCACTGTAAAAGCTTATTTGGCGTCCCACCTCGACCTCATTGGGTTACAACTTATTATGGAGGCCATGTATGTCTTTATGATTTATAATTCAAATATATACAAAAAAATGTGAAAATTTTAAATTAATTTACAATTATTTAGTCAATGATGTCACTTACCCTTGTATCGTTGTTATTCAACATGAAAGAGTATAAAATTGGTGCTCCATAGGTTTGCTAGCAACATCATCTTCTCCAATGGCTTGAGAGATTCTTATAGTAGTGGAGGGTAAGTGAAAAAGACATTTTAGCTTTCCATTTCTTTTGGAGTATGCAAATTAATCTAATTGACCTCAATTAATTATTTTTGCCTTCTTTAATCATAGGGTGTTAGAGGACTTATCAGACAGTCTGTTGGCAATCTACACCGTTAATGATATGCACTCAACTCTAATAATCTATCTATTCATACTTACAAGCATCTATATTTACGAATATAATCTCGTTATTTATTATGGATTCAAATCCTCTCTATAATACTTTCAATTAATTTCACGCAACAGTAGATCATCAATCACGTAGTGTGAGGCTCCTATTATAAATAATGGGTCCCAGTTTGATTTATAATAGGTAATTTACTATTGAATAGAATTGAGTAAAAGTGTATGGAGAGTAGTATCTCAATCCCTCTAATTTGATGCCTCTCTCGTTGCTGAAAGACAATGAAAGTTAGGACAAAATATTTTTTTAGGCCCTAAAGTATTAATGAATAATAAATCTCTCATGATCTAACTTCAAATAATTGTCAAGATTTAAACTCAGGGCATCTAAATTTATAACTCATATCTTTTACCGGTTGAACTACCCCTTGAGATTTCTTTAGTATATTTAATCAAATGACACCTACAATTTTCACTACCAATTTAAACGCATGTCATTGATTCGTCCATTTAGACTCAAATTAAAATTTTGGGGGATCAAAGTAACACAGTTGAAAAATGGGGGCAAAAGCTTAAACAAACAAATTCAAATTGCTTTCAATATTTTTCTCTTTTTCTTTTTCTTTTTCATCTGTCATCCACTATTAATAAGTGAATAGCTCAATTATATATTATGGATTCCACGAAAATTCATGGTCGATAATTCATTAATAAAGAAAAATAAAAAAGAAAATGTGCCGAAGAGAATTTCATTTCGAGACAAGACTTTAAAGACCATAATATCCTCACTTATACAACATAAATTTTGCAGGATGGCAATGCTTGGATATTCTTCCAGCAGAGGTAAGTGACCCACAGTGGTTGATCAAGCAACGAAAGATAGAGGTGGAGATCATGGAAGGATGGATAAAAAAGTACTTTGCTGATCTTCTTGCTTTCAAGAAATAGAACCTGTCCAATCATTTTTGGATGATTATGTGATTGACCCCTTTCAACCACTGATTAAATAAAATGAAAATTGTCAATTTCACTTTCTTCTAATAATGAAATAAATTTGAAATATCAACTTCATGTCTCTTTTTCTTGGCTAACGATATTTTTGGGTTCGTTTGATAACGTTTTTAATTTTTTGTTTTTTTTTAAATAAAAACATAAACAGTTTTTTTTTTGTGATAAAAAATAAAAACAAAAAACTTGTTTGGTTGTTATTTCCATTATGACAAATTACAAAAACAAAAACATAAAACTAGTTTGGTAATCACTTTTATTATTTCCCACTTAAAAACAATGAACAAAAGAAATATCAATGGTTCCATTGCCATCAGCATCCACTTCATTTATCATGGCCTAAGAGTTCAGCCTTAGTAGAATTCTGGCTCAGCGATCTCACAGTACCAAGCATCACAATACCAAGTTATTTGGTTGTAATGCAGCCTGCCCAATTTTTTTGAAGATCAACTTATAAACCAAGAATGTTTCAATACCTATTAAACCATGAGGGAAACTGGTTTTGCAACCCAATTGAACTTTCAGGAAAGACAGCGGTTGAATTGAATGATTAAAAAATGACAAGATATATTTCATCTCCTCAATTCCTTATAAAAAAAAATTTGATGTTCATGGACACCACTAATCTAGAGAAGATAAAACATAAAAAAAAAAAAAAAAAAGAGAACCTGTCCACCACTATGTCACCACCAATGCCCAAAAAACATTACTAATACCAATATATGTGTGTATAGCACGTTAGAATTGGAGATTCATATATTTATACCCAAATTTGATGATGCACAAATTGATCTCATGCAAAATCAACAGTCGAGTATATGAACGGGTGTAATTAATAAGCAATAAATAAGATAATCAATAACAAAACAGTAAATATGAAATTAACACACAAATTTATAGTGGTTCGGTCTTGGTAATCTACTCCACTCTCGGAAACGACAATAGTGGCCGAAAATCTTTATTAATGAATAAAAGTTATAGGGTGAGTACACTCCGGGAGAATTACAATGGTGAGGAGAGAGAAACAATGTGTGTAGGGATCTCAAAGTGTAGAAGCCTCAAGGTCATGTCCTCTATATGGAGAGGACTTACATTATATAAGTTTAGTGAGACGGTCACTATTTTTTGGTAAATACAGCTATAGTATGATTAGATCTACATGATGCGTATCCTAATAATCTTGTCACGTGCTCCTATTACTTCGGAAGGATGATCCCGAGCTGGGCCGGACAGGGTTGAAGTGGTAAAGTAAGTAAAACAAAGAGGAGTCAGAGGAGCTCAGCCCATGGGTGGCGCCCCCTTAGATGTGTCCTTCGGGCGTTGGTGACTTAGACCACTTTTGGTGCATTGGGCCTTGTGCTCCTTTTTTGGTATTGATGATTTGGACTCTTTTTGGTTTATTGGGCTTAATCTAATTAATTTTGGACTCGTCAAAATTTATAAAATAATATATAATAGATTTAAATTTGAATAATAAGTTAAGTGTCGAACTAAACAAATTTAATTTTTTATCTAATCAAAATCTAATGAGTGAAGATGTGTCCACCAAAAATGATATTGGTGTGTATGCCAGAAGGTTTTGACTTACCCAATTCCCCAAAATGATTGATCATCCTCAGTTCACTACAGCTACTGCCACTAAATTATTCTTCTTTAAACTTATCAAGTTCACACACTACAAGAAGAAACTTGGGCATCTGAAAAAGTCAAGTCTAAAGAGGGGGACACCTTTCTCAATGTGATCAAGATGGACGTGTTTCAAACGAAAGGTTGGAGAGAGATGTTCTTCTGCATTTACAAGTGTAGACTAACGTTCGTGATATTGACAGATCGTTCAAGCATTCGTTCTTTTAATTTAAAATTGCAACGAAAATAGTAGATATCGAACTTAGAACGTGCGAGCAGGGAGGCCAAAAAATTATATTTTTGATTATATTTTATATGTTACTTGAAATTCTTAAAATTATACTTCATACCTTAAATTATAATGCTTTTATTTTATGATCTTGATTTTTTATTTGGTCATATTGCTCCATTAACTATGAAAATTGAAATTTTGCATGAATTGTTAAAGTGAAATTAATGTCATCGTTAAGAGACAAATTATAATGTATTAAAACACTATGTATTTCATATATTTATTCTCTCTTCCCACTCTCTTTCTTCATATTTGGCAAAAATATGATGAAATTTAATTCTACTCGAATAATTACATAATAAATTTCAACTTATATAATTAATTATTTGATGAATTGCTTTATTTTCACATCTATTTATTTGACTTAGTTTAAATTAATTTTATTTATTTTATTGAAAATTAATGATTACATTGTATTATGTGAACTTCATTCTGATATATTTTATTTATATGAAAATTTGACATTAATAATGCTATTGAATAACCCGCGTTAAATAACCCACTTTAAATAAAAATATTATGTTATGCTACTATTTGGCCTTGGAGAAAATTCTGACTCCACCCTGCGTGCAAGTCTATATATCACCCTTTTCTTGAACTAGTGAACCAACCGAACCGACTGACAACAATGTGTTATTGATGTTTCCAGTGGCTCTGAGTTGCAAATGTGGTCCAATTTTAGTGGACACTGATGGCCCTGCGCGCAAGTCTATACATCACCCTTTTTTAATTCTCCCGTTGTTTTAGTCAAGTCAAGGGCACCTTACATTTATATGGTTTGAAAAACCAACTTTAAGAGTGAATATGTCGTGCAAATGAAATGATGATGAAAGGGTTGCTTTGTTTTGTTGTTAATGAAAGGGTTGCTTTGTTTTGTTGTTAAGTTATAGCGACCATACCACCGAGTGGGGTGATTCAGTGGGACCCTAGTTGAATTTCTTATCTTAAAGTTAAAGGTTCGAGTCTTATAGTGTATATTAAGGTTCGGTAGTTGACCGTCAGTCTAATTAAATTTGTTCTTAAAAGGAGTAATGGGTATGATCAAAAATCTCATGATCCCATCAATTAAGACTTATTAGAGTGGTCTCTAAACAATCTCTTTTGTCCCCACCTTTTTGTTTTTACAAGCTAAAAAAAAATTATAGGGACCATGTCTCTACCATGTATTATTTGTTTGTTTGAAAAGTATGATAGTTGATTGACTCCTAAATATATGGCGTGTTTGCCCGATATTTTATCTAGATATAATAATACTAACTTAACTCGTTAAACCTATATCATGTCAAATGACTTGATAATAACTTTAATTATGTATTAATCATATTGTGATTAGGTCGTCGACAATCACATAGCATTTGCAACTTTTGGCTTTTTTCAGTTTATGCTTAAAACTAATTTGTCTTTACGGCATCAATTTCGTGACGGGTTGTTGAAAATTGCCACACCAACAAAACCATAGGGTTCGAACTTTGAATCTTAGATTGTCGTTAGTGTATGCGCATGAAGGGAGAGGTTGGACCAGGAGAACCACTGGTATCAGCTTTAAATAGTGTCATCTTGTATTCAACTTGCATTGATTGAAAACGAACTGTGGAAAAAGGAATATCAATTCTTGCAATTAGTTAGTTGTCAGTCAGCATGAAACAGACATCCGTCTAGAAAACCAGGACAGATAAACCAATTTGTAAATGAAACAAGATCTATGTTATTGAAAAGGTAAAGGTTGCATAGTGTTTGTTACTACAAAATCTCGGACAACCTCCATGTTATTTTGCTAGATTATGATCACCTAAAAAAATAGTTGAAGACAGAAGTAGCTCTTGGGCTCAGTAAGGGATCTAAAGGAATTCAATAATTTAAGAAGTTTGGGTTGTCGACATACCTAACGCATTCTTTCGAAGCTTTAGGGTATGTTTGGTTAACTTTTGCAAAATAGTTTTTTGTTCTCAAAATTTTAAAAATACACAAAACCAGTTTGCTTAACATTTTTGTTCTCAAAATTTTTGAAAACAATGAGATTTTGAGCATAAAAACAGAAAACAAGTTAAACTTGTTTTCATAGTTTTCTTTAAAAATTTTGAAAATACGGAGACAAGTTAAACCAGTTAAATGAGGTCTGCCCTTCAAATACCCTTAACAGCAAACAACATCTTCTTCTTCTTTGTTTTTTTTACCTCTCCCTCTTTCTACTTTGCCCAACTCATCTTCTCCGACGTCTTCATTGTACTTCATTGCCTAGCGTCTTTTTTTTTCCTCTCTCTCTTCACTGCCCAGCATCTGCCTCTCTCTCTCTCCCTCTCTTTTTCTCTCGCACCAACTACAAATTTGTTCTCAAATATATGTGTCTGTGTGTGTGTTTTGTGTCTGCGTGTGTGTGTATGTATGTCTGCCTCTGTGTATAAGTCTGTGTGTGTGTGTGAGAGAGAGAGAGAGTGTGTGTGTGTTTTTGGGGACACAGAGAGAGGTGAGAATTGTAAATATTGTCCAAACAAATTTTATAATTTTTGTTCTTTAAAATTATTTTTAAAAATATATAACCAAAAAAGTTTTATAATCTAAAATTTTTTTAAAAAACTTTCTTAAAACTCTTCTCAATAAATATTTTCAGATACTATTTTTTAAAACACAAACCAAATAAGCTCTTAATTTGTTAAAGTGTTTAGTAGTTTGAGTATTAGTACCAAAAAAGTCTGGTTCAGTTTATCTAAGTATGGCTATGAGTTTATTATTTTAATTCAAATGTGTCTTATCTCAATCTCTCCGTACATTGATTTGCAGTTATTTTATTATCTCTCATCGGTATCGTCCAAATTCTCCTTCATATAATAGGGACACTGTTCTTCAAAATGACATCGTTTTACATACGAAACGATGCCGTTTTATGTGTAAATCAACATCATTTTGAAGAACAGTACCTTACT